CCATAGTGGGTAACTATAAATAGCCATATCTAATAAATAAGGTTTATTTCCTACATTACTTTTCTCTTACCTGTACCCCACTATACTCACAAGTATAGAGGGAAAGGTCCATACTCAAGACCTGCACAAAAGAAAGAGAAATTTTACAAAACTTTTTAATTGTGTGTGTGTTGATGGTGGGATTGCTTGAAAAAAATTGAATAAAAGGAAGGGATGAGGATAAAACTATCTTGGGATAGTTTTACACATTGATACAAAGGATCTCATAAACAAAACAAAAAACCATATCAAATCAATCTAGAAATTGGAGTACTGGTTACAATAATAGTTGGACTACCCAAATTATTCACCTTCCCCCAAAGAAATTCATATAGAGAGCCTGGCAGGGGGAAACTTTATTAAACATTTTCTTTGTCAAATTCGCATACAAAATTCATTGTAATGTGACAAGCCACATCATTCCAGCCCCCCGAGGTGATCATTTCTACACAGTCCTCCTCGTCATAAGCATTATTTGGTTCACCAGTGCTCCACTTGTTGAAGGTCTGCATAGGGGATCGGTCAGAGTAGACAAAGCTGCCTTCCTTCTCAAGGTCATTAATGCCAATGAAAACTCGGCTGAGGCCAGCTTGATTGATGTAGGAAGCAATGAGATTATTGGTGGCTTCATCCTTGGGCATGCTCAGGATCCCTCCTCTTCCTTGGCAGTAGAGCTGGGCGTCCACATACCGCTTCTGTTCTTTCACCAGCAGGTACGTCTTATTATCTGTCTCGCGCACACCAGCAACAGCTGCGGAGGAGGGCAGTGCTGAAAAGTGACCACTTGCATTTCTATAAACTTACTTAATGCATTCCATATAAGACAGACACAGCTGACCAACTAAAAAGCAAGCCAGATTCTTCCGAAAACCATTTCTTATATTTAGGAAGGGGAATATGGTTCCACAAACATCCCTACCTTTTTTAATGAACTTCAGCTCTGTTGTCAGCAGGGTCACTTGATTATCCATTTTACCAATGGCTGTTCGTAGTTGGCCACATTCACAAGGAATACCTAAAAAAGTATAAGAGCGGTCCAAAGGCCTACTTAGTGGAACACTCTTTTTCCATCAAGCCCAACCAAAGTTGACAAAAAGCCCATAAATCAGATACAAGTGCGTTACTAGAGTACTCTTTCCTCTGTGTTCACCAACAACCAGTCCTGAAAGTCATATAAATTCGTATTTAGATTGCACTATTTTGGCTTCAAATGCTCATCTTCTCCACACAGGCTTCCCCATGGAGAAGAACCACAGGAATAACTTTTTTTTTCCTGAACAGAGAACTCAGTTAACTGTGTTTAAGCAGGGCTTTCCTATTCTGATGCAAGGTGACCACATTTAAGCTAGGTCATTCTCACTGAGATTACTTCCTGTGATTTCCTGTATAATAGGAATCTATGGTGAAAACAAGAGACTAGTTCAAGTGTACAGGTAGTCCTCAACTTACAACAGTTTGCTTAGTGACTGTTCAAAGTTACAAAGGTACTGATAAAAGTGACTTATGAACATTTTTCACACAACTGTTTCAGCATCCCCATGGCCACACGATCAAAATTCAGATGCTTGGCAACTGAATTTATAACCGTTGTAGTTTTCCAGTGTCATGGGATCCCCTTTTGTGACTTTCTGATAAGCAAAGTCAATGGAGAAGCCAGATTCACTTAACAACTGTGTTACTAACTTAAGAACTGCAGTGATTCACTTAACAACTGTGGCAAGAACGGTCGTAAAATGGGGCAAAACTCAAGAAATGTCTCACTTAGCAACATAAATTTTGGGCTCAGTCGTGGTCATAAGTTGAGGACTACCTGTATTAGTGAACATGGGAGGAGGACTTGCACATGTATAGAAATTACACAGTCCTAATATGCCTTGTCATATTTTCTTACGCCTACCTATAAGATACTAACATTATTCATATAACTTAAGAGTTATTAAATTGCAAAATGGACTTTGAGAGATAGTACAGCCAGTTCCAATATAATTTACCTGGATCTCCATTTGGACCAGGTGGACCTATATCTCCATTATCTCCTTTTTGTCCTAAGAAAAAAGACAATTCAGCTTCTCAGCAAATGAGATTTTATTCTGTATCAATACATTATCAAGCCTGGATATTATCTTTTCAACACATAACTGGGAAAGTAATGCCTAATGAAATCAAATGTAATTCATACATAAATGTGTTTCAAAATCAAAATAAACATAATGTAATTTTATTGAATGACATCTGACAATTTCTTGAAGAAAATACATTCCTGCAACTAAGGAATAAAATTGAAGATGCTTCAGAACTTTTTAGTGTGTCCCTAGCATCGATACCATTAATGATTAATAATTGTTTAATAATACTATTAATAATACTGTTTATTTACTCTTTAAACTTGCTATCTCTGTGGTCTTTTCAAGTATCCTATCAAAATGCCATTGGCAGTGGCATATGTGATGCAAGCATACTGGATAACACACACACACACACACACACACACACAAAGAGAGATAGATAAATATTTTTTAGAAGAATATGAATGGGTATCTTAAATGGCAACCTGGAACTGTCTAAGTGCAGTGAGAATTCAAATCCAAATATCATTGGCAACTCAGAAAATCTCTGGAGATATTCTCCCTGGTTTCCTTCATCCTCCAGTTCATGAGGGTTTTCCTCTCCAAACATCTTTCTCCATACTAGAGGAAATGGGAAATGGGGGCTCTTCATCTCTTCCTGGATGAAAGAGTGAATAAGATCTGGCAGAAGATGCTACTGAGAAAGCCAGACTCTCTCCAGCTTATTTTGGCAGATGGGGATGGGAGTTCCAATACCTTCACCCTATCATATTACCTGCCAATGTGTAAGTGTCTTGGTGATAGTGTTCTTAAAAGTGCCAGTCCCATCTCCCTTTCACACTTGCTCACAAGGGAAAAAAAGTGGGGAGATAAATGGGCTGTTCTAAGTATTGTATTAACATATGTGAGAATACAAGGATAGGCCTGGAGTGGCAATCAATCTTACCCTTGCATTATCTCATATATTTCCCTAGCTGTACCAGGATTGTAATAATGAGCTGGGAGCCAAAAAAGACTTGGCTCCCATCTCATTACAGAGCATAGTGCTGGGTAAACCCCAAGAGGAGTGAAGCTGGGAGGACTCCAGTAATTTATTATCTGCACTGGGTGCAGATAAGGTACTTTGTGGGCTTAATTAAAATGTTGAAGTATGATAGCATACGAATCTGGAACTGCACATGTGATAACACATCATAAAAATAAGTGCTGAAGGATATGACAATAAGCCTTAATCGATGTATTAAATTTTTCCTGATACTGATTTAAAATATACTGGCTAACACGGTTAATAAATCAGTTAATTGGGAAGAAATAATATTTATAATTTTCTCTGACCTGTATCAAGAAACCCAAATTCATACATTTATCGTACTTCTAAGCCTTACATGTGACTTTTAGGTTAGTTTTTAAAATTTATTCTGCAAAAATATCTAAATATATATCATTAGTAAAAATTAAACTTAATATATTGTTCAAAGCTTAACACAGAATGAAGAAAAATATACCTTTTGAGCCTATGGGACCAACTTTTCCATGTCGCCCCATGCTACCTTTCTCCCCTTTGTCTCCCACTTCTCCTATAATATAAAAAATCAAAGACAAATTAAAAAGGCCTTCTGTTTTTATGAATTTCTAGTACCATATCTATTTTATAGCATGTCTTAATTAAAACTAACTCGTTAAAGCTGAAAGGAACAGAATGTGCAAGAGCGAAGGGAGGATAAAAAGAAATGGAAGAATGTGTGTTGAAAGAATTACTTCCAGTTATCATGGTCCACAGGGAGAGTGCATCATATTTGCTTGGAGTATACATGCTAAAGAGAAAAAGTTAACACGGTAATAGTGATTCAAGGAAGAAAATACTGCACACCAGCATGTGTTTATAAACAAAAAAGCTCCAGATAAAATAAATCCATCTTTATTATTGGCTTGTTTCATTTTCTCAGAGCTTAAAGCTTCAGAGACAACAAATTAGAATTACAATGCTGATTTTGGAAAATTTTACTTGAGAGATGTTTCTCCCCAGTCTTTTCTATTCATCCAATCTGGTCAGCCTGGATGGGCATGTTTCGGGTACCATTACCTAAAGAATGCTAGCAGGGCCCAGAAGATATGCCTTTTCTGCTATAGCACCTGAGCCATGGAACATTTTCCCTCTGGAGATAAGGGTAAATATGGAATTGTAATTTACAAAAAAAACAAAGAGTATTTTCAGATGCCAGTGTGATTCTTAACTCTTTCACTCTTTCAAGCAGTATTTTTTCCTCTTCTCCAGAAACAATTATTATTTGGGGTAGAATCTGGCATCTTTCAAAGTAATGAGGTTCTGTTGCAATCAGGGTGAGATCTGATCAGCAATTTTGGGTTATTTGGGGATGCTATTAGCTTGTCCACTCCCTCCCCCTCCCATTGATGGGTACATTTTCCCAATTCTAGGCACCAAAAGAAGAGGAGCAGATTTAAATGCTTCAATAGTTTGTATTTTCCACTACAAAACTCAAATCAACACAATATACAATAATTCTCAAATAAACCATTCCACCTGAATGCTAGTTTTAATAAATCAAAAGCTTAAGATTGAATTTAATTAGGTACAAACCTATATATGCAAGTATGACATTAAGAAAATATATACAAAAAGTATATTCTCCATTTATTATTAAGTAATGTTAATCCAATGCTTAATCAATTTTTAAAATAAGATTTACCTTTTTCCCCTGGAGGTCCAACTCGTCCAGGGCGGCCTGGAGCACCTTTTCCCCCCTTTTCTCCATTTTCCCCTATTATGTAATAAAACATAAGATAAAACCAACAAAATTATTCAAAATTCAGTGGTATTATGTTCAGAATTCAATTTTTGCAATGAAAATGACAGCATCATTCATATTGTTTGTCCTCTCTGTATGTGGTATTCTTCTCATTGTTTCAGCACTTGATCTCTATCAATGTTTACATTTTGAATTTTTTTTAAAAAAAGAGGAAAAGCAGAAAAATAGTTTTTTTGCTACAGAACTTCAAACTTTATAGACAATGGAAACATAACGGGTTTCAAAAAGCAAGTCTAAGAGAAAGTTATATGCGAATAACTAATAGAAGGGGGGAAGTAGTTTTGGTTTGGTCTGAAGAAACTAGATGGCAAAAAAAAATCAAACTTCTCTCTCCCTCTTTCCTGCTACCTTATGATTGTCCAAGTTTTTCACAGAAAGGATGCAATCATATTAACAGTGTTGAACTTTAGGGTGAAGAACTCATTCATCCTTACTTCAAACAATAACCTTGGATAGACCCTGGTTACTTGCTAAAAGTGACCTACTGTTGTACTCCATACCCATATCATTCCTTATATTTTCTATTTTCTCCTCTAAGGAGAAGATTAGATTTAGTTAGAGTATCTGAAGATACTTCAAGAACCTACACCATTACTGAGCTAGTAGCTATTATTTTGTTTCAGATAATAAGCCACTCTTTCCAAATGTGTCTTTTCAGGGATAAGCAACATCACTATATGATCACAGAATGACCATCAGACTATCATTTAACTAAGCAAGGCTATTGCAATTAATCATAGCTGATTATTACTGATCAGATCCTCTGCATTTACTCAGAGCCCGTTCTGTTAATTTTTTCTTTAAAAATGTTAAGACATCAGATTTCTTGACCTATAACACAGTATAGAATAAGTTAAGGAGTATAACATCTCACAACAAAACAGTGAAGGTCCTTGAAATACCTTCAGATATACTAATTAAATCTAATTTTCTCCTTAGGAGTGACAATATAAGGAATGTGCTGGGCATGGAGTGCAGTAGTCAAGGTCACTTTTAGCAAGTAACCAGAGTCTATCCAAGGTTATTGTCTGAGGTAAGGATGAATTATCCTTCAACAAAAAGTTCAACACTGTTAATGTGAGTGCCTCCTTCACCTTACTGAGATTAGCTGGCAGCCATAGCAAGTTAAATGTGTAGCTAAAAGTAAGGAAGGAATAGTAGGGTACAGCTGCTCTCTTTCCCATCACTACACATTTATTGCCAGGAATAGCAATATCTATCATACTATCTAGATTTTGATAATAGCATCTCAGACACATGGCTATTCCAGATGTGGTGGCCCCTTAGTTCAACTTCTTAGTCCTCTCAGAACTGCTCCTAACACCTCCCAGAAGAAATATTTGAGTTTGAGTTTGAGTTTTATTGTATTTATATCCCGCCCTTCTCCTTGCGGACTCAGGGCGGCTAACAGCCTGATAAAACAGATACAAAAATACCAAAGTAACTATAGTTAAAAACATAATTAAAAGAAGATATTAATATTGGCCTATGTTAATTAAAAATATTTTAAAACCCGGCTAAAAATTTCCCCTAGGCCAGTCCTGCTAGCTGAAACAACCATGTCTTAAGGGCGCGGCGGAAGGAAGGGAGATCCGGGATCACCCTGATCTCTGGGGGTAGTTCATTCCATAGGGTGGGAGCTCCCACCGAGAAGGCCGTCCCCCTGGGGGTCGCCAGCCGGCACTGTCTGGCTGACGGCACCCTGAGGAGACCCACTCTGTGGGAGCGTACTGGCCGATGGGAGGTAATCTGAGGCAGAAGGCGGTCTCGAAGATATCCAGGTCCGATGCCATGGAGCGCTTTGAAGGTGATAATCAACACCTTGAAGCGCACCCGGAAAGCCACCGGCAGCCAGTGNTGGTCTGCAGTACTAAGATTCAAACTGCACAGAAGTCAAGGACACATTGGATTTCAGCCAACAGATGAAAGACTCTATATCTCATTAGTGTACAGCTAAGCCAGGGAAATATCTGCCCTGACAGCTTAGCTCAGACACTGATGACTTTTTAGAGATTTTACATTAGCTGCAGTCTTCGTAGGTAGGCCATTTTGTGCTTCACTTCATTTCTTCATCAATCACCCTCACCATTATTACAGCTTCTAATTAGAGACTATGCTGAAGCATGAACAAAATTGGGGTTGTTTTTTCCTTCAGGCTTTCATTTTTTTTAGTTTTATATCTCAGTGTTCCCATTTCCTTGATCAAAGAGCAATTATTGTTAGAACTCAAGAATCATGCATAATTCTTAACCCTGATGTGGTATATTTTAGCAGACTTTTTTTTTTTTTTTTGCAAAACACTGCCAATTGTTCGGGCAGACTGAGCAAAGCAGTGCAGCTTTTCTAATTAAAGTTTTAATTTTGCAGATCAATAGGGAAATGAAGGTACACCACTTCCAATGTGATTTCCAAAGAAGGGGTCAAGATGCAAAGACTGGGCCAATAAGAAATAGCATATGAAATTGCATTATTAAGCAAACACTTTAATATTTCCATTTTTTTCTTCTATAAGAAGCCATATTCTTTCTTTGACATTATCTTTCAGAAAGATCAAGACAATGGGAGTGTGTAGAAATCAGTGTTTTTCACTAAGGAGGAGGCATTCCAGAAAGCCAAGGACAGACTGCTGAAGCAGATGGAAGCACCTGTGCTCCTTCCTCCTTCTCCCTTCATGGTCCTCTCCCATCATCAGGGCAATCCAGCTGCCAATCAAACAGCAGCATTGGGACGAGGCAAGAAAGAGGGAAGACAGGATGGCTGCCTGAGAGCTCTGAAGCCATAGGCTGAATAAATAGAACCAAAGCCCAGTAGTCAAAGTAAAAGGGGAAACTAAAAGTTAAACAACACACATGAGAAGACGTAACAGGAAAGTAGGCAGCAGCTGAGAAAGCTGCGGAGAGATATGTTTCTTTCCTTCCCTCATACTGGCATGAGGTAAACACTCTGTGAGTCATTTCCCTCAGATGGAGCAAATATTTGGAAAGATAGGAAAAGAATGAAGAAGCCCCACCAGGGGAAAAAAATTACTTCAACGGGTCAGAGATAGAAAGCAGAAATAAAAAAAAGACAACTGTAAAAGAGGGAGTCAAGCTATTTTCCAAAGCGCCTGAAGGCAGGACGAGAAGCAATGGGTGGAAACTGATCAAAGAGAGAAGCAACCTAGAACTAAGGAGAAACTTCCTGACAGTTAGAACAATTAACCAGTGGAACAACCTGCCTCCAGAAGCGGTGAACGCACCAACACTGGAAGTTTTTAACAAGAGACTCGACAGCCGTTTGTCTGAAATGGTGTAGGGTTCCTGCCTGGGTAGGGGGTTGGACTTGATGACCACCAAGGTCCCTTCCAACTTTATTATTATTATTATTATAGAGTGAGATAAAGATGCTGTATAGAAGGATTCAGACACAGAAATAGAGAGGTTAGCAATAAAGATATTGGAGATATAGAAAGATACGAGCATTTTTAAGCTTTCCTTTTGAAGTCTAAGTCTCTGCCCTCCCCCAAGTTAGTAAAGGGATACAAAAACCAATCAATTGTCCAAGTTTCTAGCTCTTCTTATCTAGCTATTGCTGATTTTTTAAAAAAATGTGTCCATGCTTTCCCATCATACATACAACACTTCAATGGAAAGGAGTGAAGAAAGCAATGGCTATATTCATGTCTTGTTCTAACCCAGGCCTTATAGAACAATAGAATAGAATAGAATAGAATAGAATAGAATAGAATAGAATAGAATAGAATAGAATAGAATAGAATAGAATGACCTTGGAGGTCTTCTCATCCAGACCCCTGCTCAAGCAGGAGAACCTATACCATTTCAGACAAGTGACTGTCCAGTCTCTTCTTGGGTTCAGATTACAAATAAGCACAACATGGCTTACAACTGAAAAAAGCAATTATGTTCCATTGGTTAATTTCTGTTTTATTTCCTTTTTTCAGTATTCCAAGCTTCCTCACAATAATAAAAGACTGCTTGTTCAGTTCAGATTTAAGGTTATTGTATCCTTAAGATAGCTGTATGAGAAAATTAGGAAAACAAATCCTAACTTAGTTTATTTGCAAATCATACCAATGCTTTCTTTATTTTCCCACAAAACTATCACTCATATAACTCCCTCAGCCTTAATTCTTCATGTTTACAAGCTTTTTTCTTCTGCATAATTGCTTAGACCCTGGTTCACAAAGTATTGTGGGAAAAACATCCAGATTATTTATAAAATTTATTATGTCTCATCTTTTTTAGTAACTCAAGGCAGTGAACATACCCAATATTTGTTCCTTCTATTTTTCCCAACAACCCTGTGAGGTGGGTTGAGCTGAGAGAGAGTGGCTGGCCCAACGTCACCCAGCCGGCTTTCATGCCTAAAGCAGGACTAGAATTCACAATCTCCTGGTTTCTATGGCCAGCCAGCACCTTCACTATTAGACCAACTGGTGCTTGAGTACAACATCTTTATAAGAAAGGAAGTGAGAATGCATATCATCAAAAAGGATTGTATATTAGATTGAAAACGAAAGAGAAAGTTTATTTTAGAACATGGGACACTTTTTATCAGTGGCTAGAAAAATGAGGTAGAGAGAAAGGAATTTAACATTATTAGTAAGTTAAATGTTAGAACCCAGACAATATGTTGCTGATAAAAAGATAAACACTTATGATTGTATATTAGAGATCTGCAATGGTTTAATAATAGAGATGTACATGGAAAATATTGTGTTTAATCTGGGCACAAAAGAATTCTCCACAAATTGTTCCATTAGAATGTTTCAAATTGGCTGTGTTCTGCAAATAAAAACTCGAAATAGCTTGAGCAGAATATTTTTGAGCAGAATGTATATATAGAGCAGGGGTGTCAAACTGCCGGCCCACGGGCCGGACGCATGATGAGAAAACCGTGCCCACCCCATTGCCAGAAATGGGGAAAAAGTTCCGATACGTCACACGACATCACATGACGTCGCGAGTTTGACATGTCTGATATAGAGTATTCTGGCCACTGGAAATAAAAGGACTATGGGAAGCTACCCTTCCTTTATCTTTTATCCTAGGTGTCCTGAATAAGTTGGATGGGGAGACCATGGTGATTACTATATAATATCCAAATTTCAAAGATCTGATATAGAGGATACTTTTAAAAAATTAAAAAATAAGTACAGTATCCATAGGAGACACAGCACTTTTCTCACTCACTGAAACATTTAAATCAAAAGCAAGCATCCCATCCCCCTTCCCAAGCATCCCATCCCCCTTCCCAAGCATAAAACAAGCAGACATCTTTTCAGTTACTTTAAATAAACTCTAGGTCAATCAATTGTTGTTTTTTTTATGAGTGCAAAAAATGCTGGTAATTTTTAATTGCATGAATAATTCTAAAACAACAAAATACAAGAAACAGGCATGGACATTTTGACTTGGAATGTTTTAGATATGTATTATAATTACACTGCTTGGATTCAATTCAAGAATACATTTTGGAGACAGGGAGCTATTTCTAGCAAAAGTGACCCAACTATCATTCCATCTTTTAGGATGAATTCATGAAGATGTTTTTAAAGCAGTAAGAGGCACTATAACATTTTAAACAAAGTTTTATTGTGGCATGGGTTTCTTCAGAAAATTAATTTATTTCATCCAATTCATTATGTAAAGTAATAAGCAGCACAATGGAGAATAAGCTCACTAAACAGTTAACATGAATACAAAGATTATAGTCAAAAGAAAATACGAACCACGCTAAATACCCCACCCCAAATCTACATTATTGGAATACTGTGAAATGAAAAATTAACAGAAGCTGCTAACTTGAGGCAACTGTTGCAGCAATCATTCAGATATATTTGTATTGATAAAAGATCTGATGATTTTACTAATTCCAGTGGTCCCTTTAATATTTCAACAATTATCTCAAAATCAGAGGCAATATACCATACATGACAGCTTTAAGATCTTCGGTAAAAAGAACAAGAATAAAAAGCTTTATTCCCAAATGGTTTCTATTTCTCCTAGAATTGACCATCAAATGTATGAAAGTGTCATGTTGTCTTTCATTTTTATTTTGTATCATAAGGCTTCCCAACTTCATTGACATTAAACTACCATTTGTTTACACTGTTGGTGATTCCTATTTTCATGATAAAAAGTCAAGAATGGCAACAAACCAGCCAACATTTCTAAAATAAGAATATAAAAAATAAGAGAAATAAGGCCGGTTACTCTCCTCCAAATTCTACATTCTGTTTATGCAAATTAAACCCATTCACTTATAAAATATTTGTTAGTTTTTTGATGGTGTGCAGGTATGTTCTAAAAAAATGAAATTTTATAAGTGAGGAACTAAAAATAGAGAAGCAGAAAATATCTCCAGGGCCAGTATCCAAGAAAATTAGATATACTTAGTGTAGCAAATAAGATTTGTGTGGTTGTTTATTGGGAATTCTGTGGAAGGACTGATTATAACCATTCAAAGCCCTCTATGATTGTTTGCTTAAGCTGCAGCTCCAATGACTGTTTCTTTATTATAGGCCAATTGCCACAAACTAGGAAAAGCTTAAGAGAAAAGTTGGCCTATTTCATTAAGAGAATGCAAGCCCGGTAATAATTACTAGAATGGCATCAGAACAATAAAAATGAAGAAGGAATGTCTGACATTTATGGGAAAAGATACACATATTACCTTTGAGGCCTGGAACCAAAATCTGAACAGAGCAGGATTCCTCTGCAATATGTTGAGCATATCCAGATCTTGGCAGAGACAGGAATGCAAGGCTAATTACAGAGACAAAGAAAACCAGATCACTCTTCATAATGAGCTTGTCCCTTACTCCTAAAGGGAGGAAAAATGAATAAACCATTAATAGGGATTCTAAGGACTGGAGAATTCTAATGTGTTTACTATCGTCTAAGGACACAATAATCTTTACAGCATATTAAAATATATGTTTAATATATGATAGCTTGCTAGCTAAGTTGCAAAGATTGTTGCTATTTTTTGATAATATATTTTATTGGGAAGGGACACTCAAGTTTCAGCAGAGTGAGAGTCTTTGTAATATAAATAGATTTTCCCCTAGATCTCATAATCTATATTTAAACCAACGAAAAAGAGTTTGGTTTGGTATACTTGTTCAAAATCCCCAAGAAAAAAAAAAAGGAACGGTCCTTCATATATACTCACAAAAAAAGATTGGAAAAAAAAACCTAATTTAGTGCATGGTGAGAATGATCTACATAAAGGTTCCCTGGGGAAGTCATGAACATATTTCCACACTGCTGAAAAAATTCAATTGAAAGGAAAACAAGCATCTTTGGGAAAAATCCCAAGTCCAGATGATTAGATGAGAAAATGTATAAAATAGTTGACTAAAAAATTGAAGAAAAAGGCTAAGAGAAAAATAATCACTAAGATCTTTCTTGGTTTTGACTGAAGCAAAAGCACCTATGTCTAGAGTTGTGCAAGGAAAAAATGCCAACACACCCCTCAGTTTTCAGTTACTTCTACTAATCTTGATTAGTTCACATAGCATGCCACAAAGATAGTAGCACTGTAGGCACTGGGGAAAAGGATAAAAACTCTCCTTTCTGTCCTCTGTCCTCAAATTCTATAACACACTTGTAATTTTGTAATATTACTGAACTATCTTCTTCTAGGAACAGGACATCAAGAGATTAGTTTGGGATTTTCAAGGATGGCATATAAACTTGTGGGCAATACAATTTCTTCTCAGTAAAGCTCTAAATGATATACTACCTACATTCTGGCACTGCTAAACTAGTATCAAAGCTAAAATTTGATCTATTACTGACTTTAATTTCTGTTCAAATATTTTATGTGTGGGTTAGGGTGTATTGTTGTTAGTTGCAAAGTCGTGTCCGACCCATTTGGCTCTTCTCCAGTGAGTCTTTCCTTCTCATTAGGTGGCCAAAGTATTTGATAGGGTGTATAGAATAGTATAAATATATCATTCCAATAATAACGTGATTTGTACAATATGCTGAAGTACAAACTAACCACATTTTAGTCTAGCCAGTACATTAACTGAACCTTGTAATTAATGTATCATTGAGTGCATATCATTAATTTATGGTTGAATGTCTGTCTTGCAAACCAAGAAAACAATGTTAAATAAGGATCAGCATGGATTAAGCTGCTGTGTATCACACATTATTCAGCAAGCTAACTTTCGTGGTGCAAGAACCCAACAGCCTTTGATATTAAAAATAAAATAAACCAGCATGGGGTAGCTGACAAAGATAAGAAGCAACTCTTCCTTCTTTCTGGATTTTGCTTTTTTAAAATTAGCTACTGCTTAATCTCTTCATTCTTTTCTCAGGTTAGTGAATTTTATCAATTGTAATAGACTTTCAGAGCAGCTGGACCTTTCCTGATATCAGCCTTTCATATGTATTGAACTAGCCATCTTATTGTATGCAACATGTCAGGAGGGTTGTGAAAATACATGGTTGTGCCTGTCAGAAATGACCAATTCAGCAAGTCTCCAAGCATAAACAGATGTTTGTAGACATACAGCTCCATATAATCAGGAAATCAGAATCTACCTGTGTTTTGGACAGTGTCTTGAAATGTTTAATGTAATTATTGGAATTTTGCTTTAATAAATTTATGTATTTAATAAATTTAATAAATAAATCTGTAGGAGGATAGAATAAAGAGGATATGGGAAGAAACAAAGAATTCTATTTTCTCTGTAACTTATTCCTCTCCATACCATTTGCTCTTTTGTGGACTGAAAAGAGTTCGGAAGGTGGGAAATACATAATCCATTGTGCAAATTTGTTTGCCTTAGAGGGAAAACAGTCAGACAATTCTCAATGCTTATAGAAACAGTTGCAATATTTTGAATTCATCCTTTTCTGTGATCATCTGTTTTCTGATTCTTTTGCTTTTCTTTATCTCCATAACATTTTCCTACTCTGCCAACCCATCTATTTGCATGTTTCACTATTTTCAAAGCTTTTTCACCTTCTGTTTTTGTGTTTTAGATTTAGCCTTGCTGTTTTGTTTCTTTTCCTGAAATAGACTTATTTAAAAAGTAGCACTTAATTTTAGCTAACTGCACCAAAATATTGGTCCACATTTTTTTCTAAAGCAAGGGGAACTATTCCAAAAATTGGTTAGCAATAGTAATATAGTACAATAAATTTGCTTGTGAGAATGTGCATCTCACATTCAATCCTAAGTGATCACAAAGTACAGTCACATATTTGAGGTCAGGGTTAAAAGTTAAAGACTATAAATTATAGCCTAGTTGGAAGTGATAATTTTATGGTTTGCCTACTTGAAGAGGACTGGTTTAGGGAAGGATGCTCCAGATCTCTAGTAGCTGCTTGAGAGGAAAAAGTAAATTTGGACTACTATATTCCATATTCTTCAACCAACACTTTATAGTTCATATTCTATATTTCTTAGCAATGTTGGGACACATGAGAGGGAAGAACCAGAACTGAACTTTTCAATTCCAGATATTGTACAAGTTGCTTTGCGCTTTTGTAGCATTTTATCTGTCTCTTAAATAGCTCCTTAAAAAAAACCCCACCCTTGCTGGGTTGTTTTTTTTTGTTTTCTGCTACACACTCTGTACAAAGAAACTCATTTATAATAGCACAGCATAAAATAAAAATATACTCCTATGCAATCTTGAACACTATATAAATCAATTTCAAATGTTTAATAACTTTTTAAATGTAAAGACACGAGCTGGTCTGTATTCTATGATATTAGATGACCTACATTGCAACAATTCCAGACTGATCCCAACTCAGTCCTGATCTGAAAGTCAGTAGTCTCTTCTTTATCCAGCTTCTATGAAAAAGAAATGTTATGCAGCCTACTCTCTTTTAAGTTAGGGGTTTGGCTGGCACAACCATCTTAGCATCACCTACCTTAGATTTGCTGAGAGAAGAAGCCTTGTAGCTGAGCTGCTGACTGAAAGGGCACGGCACCACAGATGGACCTCATTGCTACTATTTACAAAAGTCCGATAGGTTTTAATTTGAAGCGGGCTCAACTCCTGCTCTTCGACATTCAGCAAATCAGGCCCAACTGTTTGCAAGCGTTATCTATAAACAGCTTCCTGTTTGAAACAGCTCAGCTGTCCAGCAGGACGTTAATTAGGAGCAAAATGTGTGGGAACGCGGCAACGACCCATGATATAAACGACTGCTTTTGGCAGGGCACATTTTTGGGAATGCAGGACACTTCTCTTTTTGCTCCTCTCGCCTTCCCATGAAAAGAAGCCCCTTTGTTAACTCTTTCATGTCTAGTCTCTGATAGCGGCCATGTGAATAGGATCCTAGTAGAGCAAAGGTCTTCCTAAGTGCCTTGCTTGGGTTTTGAGCATGGATATTCAGAAAGAGCAGAAGGTTCCAGAGCTAAGATATGCCAGAAACATTAATGTTACACGTAAGGAGTGGGTGAATTCTAGCTTGGTGCAGCTTTGGCTAGAGTCAAGAATAACCGCATGGACAGAAAGATTCTGCACAGCTCCTTCTTTTAACATATTAGCTCATCATATGCAGATATTTTTAATCCAGTAACATACCTATTCTAAATTGGCACAACCCTGAATACCAGGACCTCCTTCTGCAGGAAATGTGGATGATTTCATGGACTATTTCAGAAAACTTCATTGTCCTTCGACAGCCTGTAGTACAAAGCCTCAGTAAGGTGCCCTAGTCTGGCACAGACTACATTAGAAAACAGAAGAATCGCATTATTCCCTTTTCAACATCAGCCTTGGATAGAAAGACACTTTCCTTTTATTTTATGCTTCCCCAGGGTAGGCAATCTGAAGTTTCCACTTATTTTCTTGATTCCCTGCTAACATTACTGAAAAATGATGGTGTGCTTTCTTCCAATAGGAAACTTTCAACAACTATTATCTGTCCTTAAATAGCCTTAAAAGTTTTTTTTTTAAATTGTCAAAGCCCACTAAGATCACTCCAGAATTCTGCCTCGAACCCACATTATAGCAATATCCCTTGTCTCCACTGTGGATCCTGCAAGCCCAACTGTTTATGGGTACATCCACCAAGAGATTGCCAGTCTACCTTAATATTACTTACCCCAAACAAGTGTCCTCTAAATTTACTGAGATAAGCCACAAAATTCCTATCTAAAATCTATAAAGATGTTTGAATTAAAAATCTAAATTAGACAACCTTGTTCATCCCTGTCTTTATCTCAAACCCATGTGGCAGAAGTTTCTTAACAATTTCTACACTTGTGTACAATGAATGACATGCCACAGCAGACTTGTCCCACCTAATTGACCTTGGCTGATTTTGAAAAAGCGGAGACAAGACTGGGATAGTATTTCAATGGGAGGCCACTAGGGAATTTCAGAGCTACAACCTACTCTGAGAAATTGATAAAACATTGTAGAGAAGAAAACTGACAATTGTGTCCATGCATTCACCTAGACTTGTGTTCCACTCAAGGGAATCTTGGCATTTAATAATTTCATCTATTCCAGTACATACAGATTAAGTCAGTCAATAGCTATTGTTTCAAGTTCAGTTTCCAAATATGAACTTAAAAAATTCATGTAGCTTTGTCATTTCCCTTAATGCATGTTTAAAAAAACCGAGTAAGTGAGGTTGTTTTTTCTAAGGGGTATTTATTCCCAGAGCAAATGAATGCTCGCCTCTTTCTCTTCATGAAGCAATGTCTATAAGAAGCTATTACTGGAAATGAAGGAATGAGATCCCACTTTTTCCTTGTCCTCAGCAAATCTTTGATTTTTATTATTCCTGAATACTTAATGAAATGTCTTATTGGGCTTCATCTTTCAGTAGCTATTTGAGCTATTACGGTGATGGCGAACCTTTTAGAGACCGAGTGCCCAAACTGCAACCCAAAACCCACTTATGCATCGTCAGGTGCTGGGTGGGTGTGGCCCATTGCCTGGGCGTGGCTGCAGTGGTAACGGTAGACTGGGTGGGACTACAAAGTTCAATCAATCAATTCCAACTTTGCAAGATCTTTTTTTTTCCCACAAGAAGTTGAAATTGAGATTGATTGAACCCTTTTTTTTTTTGCACACGGCAGCGGAAACCTAAAGCGAAAAGGTTTTATAAAACCCAGCTGAAGGCCTAGGACTGGGGCGACAGCACGTATGCCCACAGAGAGGGCTCTGAGTGCCGCCTCTGACACCCGTGCCATAGGTTCGCCACCACTGGGCTATTATCTCTGAAGGATAAGGATAAGCCTGCAGCCAAACCAAGTAGAAGCTGTTTTGAGATTGATGTCCACAGATTTTGATACTGCAGATGGTTCTCCATTGGAAATGACAGGATATGAATGTCAATGCCTTTTGCACCTGAACTATTCAAGAATCCACTTTGGCAATTATTTGGGTTTTCTAATAAATAGAAATTACTTCATCCATAGAGGCACAGGGCACTCTCTATGAATAGAAAGTTGCCACAGGTTAGAGAATTTGATATCTAGAACATGAACAAGTTCAACCTAACATTTTAATTTTCCGCTGCAAAATACTCTGCAGCCTTCAAATTATTTTTTTTTAAAAAAATGGTAAGTGAAAAATTATTAGAAAGGTTTATGGCATATATTGGTCAATGATAAAAAAAATATAAACGGTAACTTGGGCGAATCGAAGAAAGCACTACAGCATCGTTTTTGGTAGGGGAAATTTCCTTTTTTAAAAACAATTGTCCAGAATGTTGAAATCTCCATGACTTAAAATCTGCTAGATGAAAATGAAATTGTACCATTTCTGAAAAATTCTATGACAACTACCTCTGTAAAGTATAAAAGCAACTAGGCATTGCATTCAACCCCACTCCTATGTAGAGACAAACTTTTAATATGCAACTATAGCAAAGGATTTGACAAAATACAGGTTTCAGAAGAAAAACATAGTCAAGATAGAACTGGATCTCAGAGTATTTTTGTTTCGTACACTGAGCCAAATGAAGGCATAGAGTATAAAATTACTCAAATCTTCCATGGGTCAAGAATTCTTTTTTTTTAATGTAGATTCTTGATTTCATGCCTTGAGGTTTTTATAAAAATGGCAAGGTCAAGTGAATACTATGCAGCAGACTCTTGGGTTCTATGCTGTTCCCAGAAGAATAATTAAAACATTAGGCAGAAAATAAGACTTCCCACAATGCCATCAAGAACTTTTGTCTGTAGTGTATTAAGACTCTGCTACTGTAGTCACAGTAACAGTTAATGGTCCAACGAAGTGGCAAAAGTTTGCCCATTTTATAATTTTGTTGTTTCAAAACAATCATTTTAATGGGGAGAAAAAGTTGCAAGTTATGCTTTTTATATGTTGCTCACACCATCTCCAGCAGTTCCCATGAAGTCTAAAAACATAGCAGCCGACTGAGCTTGCAGAGTTTCTTTTGGCAATGGTTCTGGGAACGAGGACAAATTCATTTTGCAATATATCTTTCCTTTCCCGTTTTAAACCTCCATATGCACATATACACAAATGTAGTCCTTTGATCACTCAGTGAGGGCAAATGGATAAAAAAATAGACCAAAATAATCTGCAATTATGAGAATTCAAATGCAGCTTGCTTAGTTCACATTCTTCCAAACATGTTTCGTTTAAAGAAATAAGAGCAAAGCAGGGTGTCACTTTCACTAACTTCATTGTTAGTTTACAGAATGCATATTATGTGCTTTGTTGCCACCAAGTGCAGAATATATAACATAACCTGTAAGTCAACTTTTAAGTATTTTCAAACATAAAAAAGATTGAGAAACTTTTTCTGCAAGTCAGGGGCCTACAAGTCTTGGGCTGCAGCCTGTTTGGAACCGGGCCGTGCAAACAGCAGGCGACCACACAGCTCCATTTGTGGAAGTGGTGGGCACATGCAAGCACCATTCGCGCAAATGGAGTTGTGTGCATGCCACCACTTGCACGGAACCATCCCCCCCCAGCTGGTCCAAGCTGGAAAGTTTGGGGATTGCTGCCTTAAATGCTTTACATTATAGCCATGCAGGTATCCATTCAGAAGTTCCAAACTCAGCAGGCAAATGGATGTAGGATTGAAGTTTTACTCTTTTTAGGAAAATCAATTCAAAAACTGTTTAATGACACCCTACTTAACTCCAACCATTATTTCACATCTCTAAAAATGTTTGCATATGATTAATCTGTGAAAACATACCTGTCCTATAACCCAAAAAGATTATTGAAGCATTAAATGCAGTCCAATTTGCTTTAGTATTCTTCTAATGAGGACATTAAAAACATTTGGCATAGCCAAATAATTTAGAAATATGTCTAGGTGACATTTATTGGTGGCAAACCAAGACATAATGTATTTGTTAGGTTTTACACTAAACCGAACGTTTCAGGTCCTTTCATTACAGAATCCTGGAATATTAATTTTCAAGATTCAGTATTTAGATGTATGTTTTAATTTTCAGTATAATTTAACTCTCTTACCTCCACTTTTGGGATACTTAAAATTAAAAGATAGGTTTTTGAAGTTTTAAGGGAAGTATCACAGAAGTTCTTTGGCTCTCTTGTCACTCAATAGGACAAATGAAACCCAGAGTTTTATTATTCAATAGGTGCCACAATCTATTGATGTCACAGTAGAACTAATTGTAATCATGATTTTCAGTTATGTACTTTGAACAGCTATAAATTTGTTACTTGTGTCATCTTTCCATCAACAAACCAAATGTATAGAAATTTTAGTTTCATACTTTTAAAAAAGCATGACATTAAAAAAATATGAAGAATTAACTTTTATTAATTGACATATAGTTTTTGCACTTTACAGCTGAAATTCTGGAAACTCAAACACAACATCTTTGCCCGTCAGCTTCTTGTATACACCAGAAAATGTTTCAACCTGCAAACAGAATAACCAAACATCAGCAAAAATGATACTTGACATTAAAGAAGGCAAACTATAATGGAAAGAATAATATATCAATTCTGAAATTAAAGAAATATATATGGTATTACCGTATACATTTTTTAAAAGCTTATAATCTAAGATTAATTTATACATCACTGAACATTTATAGGAACAACACATTTGGTACAAGGTAAAACTAAGCCATGAGAGGTGGCAGCACAAAATCAATATTGACTATAGAAATCACATAGGGGAACCTGGTTGGTATTTAAAATTATAAAACCACCAGGAAGGAAGACTCAGGGATGTCAGCTATACGATGAAATAAAATAGCCAAAAAATACAAAGAAGAAATAACAAGACACTTCTGTAACTTGCCAAGAAAATAAAATGTGTCCAGGTAATTCACTAAGAATCAAGCTTGAAGTTATCTCTACCTCTAAATAATGTTAATATATTCAAATAAAAAAGCCAATGAGAATTGACAATTCAAGCTGATAACCAAAACCATTTACTGTATCTCAGACCATTAACAATAATCTTATACACAAAGTCACGATCTGAAGACAGGACAAAGCAGAATTTCCCTCCTTTTTTCTATCAATTCAAGTTTCATCCTATGTGTAACTCTTGTAGAGCAGGGGTTCCCAACCGGGGGGTGCAAGATATTCCAGGGGGTGCCAAAACTTCAAAATTATAGTGCATATGCATAATTCGTTATTTCAAACTTTTGTAAGGGGTGCGAGAATATATCAGAAGCGTTCTAGGGGTGCGGGGTATAGAAAAGGTTGGGAGCTGCTGTTGTACAGTATCTATGAACTGGGAGAATATGAACTATGAGTATCCATTAAAATAGAGACTACTCTCAGACCTCATTACACAAATGATAGATTATGCAGAGGATTTTTATTATTTGTGGAGATTTGCAACCTGTTCTTGTGACTGTGGCACCACCCCAATACTGATGTGATTGCAATTTCGAGCACTTGACAACAGGCTCCCATTTATGTATGGCTGTGAAAGTTGGACCATAAAAAAGGCTGAGTGCAAAAGAATTGAGGCCTTTGAACTATGGTGCTGGAGAAGACTCCTGCAAGTCCCCTGGACTGCAAGACGATCAAACCGGTCAGTCCTAGAGGAGATCACCTCTGACTGCTTTTTAGAAGGCCAGATCCTAAAGTTGAAACTCAAATACTTTGGCCACCTAAGGAGAAGGAAGGACTCACTGGAGAAGAGTCTAATGCTGGGAAAGATTGAGGGCAATAGAAGAAGGGGACTACAGAGAATGAGGTGGCTGGATGGAGTCACTGAAGCAGTAGGTGTGAGCTTAAATGGATTCCAGAAGATGGTAGAGGACAGGAAGGCCTGGAGGAATGTTGTCCATGGGGTCGCGATGGGTCGGACATGACTTCGCAACTAACAAGTAGCAGTCATGTGATCACGATTTGCAACATGCCCATTGGTCAATGACTTTGAATTTGGGTAAGGACTACATGATTTGTTCAACAATTGTCATAACAATTTCGTAAAATTGGATCCAACTTGGCTTACAACAGAAATTCCAGGTCCAATTGGTGTCATAAGTTGAAGACTACTGGTAGGCCTGTTCAAGGCTAAACTAATGGCATTGTCTGGAAGATGTCTGGCAGAAAATTAAACATTTCAGAATTTTCTAGAAGGATCTGTTCCACATATCATCAGATTCCACATATCCCTATAACATAGGCCACAATGTACCTCTATTCCTTACATAGTCTAAATCAGTGGTTCTCAACCTTTTTAATGCTGCGACCCCAACCGGTCGTAAGTCGAGGACTAAACCGGTCGTAAGTCGAGGACTAAACCGGTCGTAAGTCGAGGACTAAACCGGTCGTAAGTTGAGGACTACCCAACCGGTCGTAAGTCGAAAACTTTCCCTGCCCGGGAGCGCCGCTCATGCGTGGTTCCACCCCCTGCGCCGGCCGAGGCGTAGCTGGCAAGCGGCAGAGACGGAGCAGGCCGACCACCAGCTGGCCCAGCCCAAGGGAGGTAAGGCACCCGCCGGAAAAGGGGGAAAAAATGGCGGACAAAAAATGGCGGACAGCCTTGCTTGGCGACCCCCATGAAATGGTCGATCGACCCCAAATGGGGTCCCGACCCACAGGTTGAGAACCACTGGTCTAAATAATGTTTTGTGTCCCTCTTTTTGATCAAAAACAAAAACCCCAACATTTGCAAGTCCTACAGGCACCATATTTCAGCAATTCCAAGAACGTTCAATCACAGGACCACATTTACATTAATCTCTGTCCTTTGATCATTTCCAACTTTTAATTTTCAAATGTATCATCCTCATCAAATGATCTACCGCAGTCTCCTTTATCCATTTATCTAACGTTTATCTGAATAAAGGCAAACTCCTTCTCTTTCTTACCTTGTGTTCAACATTGTTCTGTTGCGCTTTGTCTAAATGGACCTTTATAAGCCGGCTGCCATCCAGTTTTACACGGATTCTCTTGCCCACAATTTCACTGGGGAAAACCAAGTCTTCAAGAATGGCATCGTGCACTGCGGTAAGCGTACGGCTAAACAGAAGAGAATCAAATATTTGCTACAGTGCCTTCAATTTTATACAACTTCTACTAAGGAATCATTCAGTTTACAAATAAAAACTGGTTATGTGGAATGTTTTAAATCAGACATTCCGCTTCCAGAGAGATACTGCATTACCTAAACAGTTAAGATTAAATTTAAATAATTTTTAAGTAGCAAATACATTTTAGTGAAACAATTGGCTATTCTTGCCCATTTACCACTAACAAGGTAAACTGTACTAAGCACAGAACGAAAGACAATTATATTTTTCTCTCAGCTATAGCCTTGCCTGATGTGCTTTCAAAGAACACAATGAAATTACAAATGAAATATTCAGGATCAGAATCCAAATGGCTAAATTTACATAAAACAATAAACTATAACCCTGCAAAATATTAGCTTAAAATGCATGAAGACTCTTGGATCAAATAGAACTATTTCCATCTGGAGTGCCTAAAAAAAAGCTAAAGTATTATGTTGCTAAAAATGAGCTTATGGCTCAAGACTAAATATCTTACTAATAATCCTGGCTTATAAACAATGCAACAAGCCATTAGCCTTAGTTCAGACAAGACTATTATTACTTTCTAAAGTTGCTTCAGCCTGCAGGAGGATAATCAGTGCTTCGTAGAACCAGAAGGAGAATATATATATTTGCACTGCTACCAAACAGAAGACCCTAAGAGCAAAATGATAATACATCCTTGTCTGGTTGGACATAATGTTCAAGTCAGCCTTTTCAATACAATATGCTTGGAAAGTTTGCAGCCTTCTGTAGTATCCATACTGTGTTAATAATATAAAATGCAGAAATCCTACATATAACTCAAAACAAGTTCCCAGAACAGCCAATGAACTGAACATCTTTATCTAATCTTGCATTTTCCAGGTCTGTCCATCTAATTTATGTAGCTGGCCATTTCATAAGAAAGTGACTCTGGGTGGTATTCAACAAAATTACAGAGGTTACTTGATTAGTAC